AAATTCCTTGAGGATATTTTATTAATCTTGTACCCATAATTAGGTTGTCCAACTAACTTAATATCTGATGTTTAAGATATTTCATTAAAATAAAGTTTTATATCAAACTGATACCACCTCAAAGACTTATGTTACTATGGTCTTTATACAGTATTTGTAACTATCCAATCAGAAGGAAATTTGTTAATTCATCGGGCAGGCAAAAGGAAGAAGAGTATGACTCTATTATTAAGTTTCATCCCCTGAGCATGGTGGTGCACACCCATAATTCAAGCAACTGAGGAGCTAAGGCAGGAGGATTAAGTTTAAGGCCAGCCTCAGCAACTTAGTAAGACCCTGTCTCAAAATTTAAAAAAAGGACAAGGGAAGAAATGATCAAAATGCCCCTGAATTCAATTTCCAGGATGGGGAAAAAAAAAATACATAGACACACACACACACACACACACACACACACACACACACACACGTATATAAAGTTTAAAAGGACAGGGATATGCCTGAAATATAACATTAAGTAGAAAAGGATGACTTATATAATCCTACGTAATTTCAGTTTTCCTCTAAAAAATTATATGCACACATGCCATGTATACACAAAGAGAGACTAGAAGACATTATTAGCATTCTATTATTTTCATTAATAGAAATCTAAGTAAATATTCTTTCTTCTGCTCATGTTATGTATTTTCCAAGTTTCTAAATGAACACATATTCCTTTTATAACAAAAAACAAAACTTGCATTATAGTTTTCCTTTCAAATGTAATCTAAAAAGAAGAAGATGGCATCTAACGTGTGATATGTCACTTTAAAATTGCAGGCATGGTGGCTCATGCCTGGAATCCCAGTGATTTCGGAGGCTGAAGCGAGAGGATCCCAAGTTGGAGGACAACCTTAGCAATTTAGTGAGACCTTGTCTTAAAATGCCCCTGAGTTCAAGTCCCAGTACCAAACAAACAAAAATTGGAATAAAAGATATCAAAAAAAATTTCTGGTTCCCTGTTAGCTAATTATGTCTGATATCTACAACTCTGCAAACAATTTCATCAGCTGAGTAGTCCACAGTAAAAAACCAAAGATACTACTTGGGTTCTGCTCAAATTCTGTGATACAGTCACTTAAAACAAAAAAATAAAGACTTTTCAATCTATTTTGGTGAGAGAAAACAAATAGTCAGCATTCCTATCTTTATAAACAAACAAAACCAAAAAAAGGCATCCTAACTAAATAATGGCAGAACTTTACAGGTCTGGTCAGTCCAAATTAATAGTCATTAGCCACATACAGCTACTTAAAGTATTAAAATTAAATAAAATTAAAACTTCAGTTCCTGAGTCATACTAGCCTAGTTCATATTTCAAGTGCCCACAGCCACATGAGACTAATAATTACTGAACTGGACACACAGATATGGAACTTCTCTATCATAACAAAAAGTTTTATTTAGACCACGTTACAACAGATGTTGCTGAATAAGTAAAAGGGAAACCCAAGCTAACCATAATTATATGTCAATAAAGCTTGTAATTAAATATAAAGAATGCCTTGAAAAATGGTATGAAACCTGAAGGAATAGAAAACCATTTTGATTAAACCTGCTAAAGAGTAGGAGATTATGTACATAACTTACATCCGCTTTTGCTTTAAAACCCGCAAGGCTTTCTGCTTGACCATATTCTAAGGAGAAAAACAGATTTAATAAAAACAAAGTGGAAAACATATACATGGCAAAAAAAAATCTCCAAGAATTGGAGGTGTATCTCAGTGATGGACTGCTTGCCTAGCTTGCTTGAGGCCCTGGGTTGATCTCTAGCACCAAAACATACCGGCTCCTAAATTTTGTACTTCTCCCAAGCACTGATATTGTTCACTCTCCAAGTCTTTGCATTCCACATCTCTATATCCTGAACTACTTTCTCTTTCCCTAATATATATTAACTCAACCTCCAATTTGAAAAGCATCCTTTTTTATTGGGTGGGTGGGGGCAGTACTAGGGATTGAACCCAGGGCCTGGTGCATGCTAGGCAAAAGCTCTACCACTGTGCTACATTACCAGCCCCATTCTGTATATCCAGTTGCCTTAGGGAGATTCCCCACTTGAATATCCTGCTATCAAATTAAATGGAACATGCCCAAATTCTTCAATCTTGTATTGGAAATAACTAACAGTAGTACATGCCTGTGATCCTAGGCACAGTGGTACATGCCTGTGATCCCAGCAACTTGGGAGGCTAAGGCAGGAGGATGGCAAGTTTGAGGCCAACCTCAGCAATTTAGCAAGGCCATAAGCAACTCTGCCAGAGCCTATCTCAAAATAAAAAATAAAAAGGGTTAGGGATGTAGCTCAGAGGTAAAGCTCCTGGGTTCAGTCTCCAGTACCAAAAAAAAAAAAAAAAAAAGAAAGAAAGAAAAAGAGAGCCACCAACCTCTCTCTTCTGGAGATTGAGAAACTTTAATCAACCTTATCTTTCCTCTCTCTGTTGTCTCCTCAGAGAGTCATCAGTATGATTTTCAGACTCACTCTCAAACTGACTCATTTTACATTATTCTCATGACTACCTACCTGGTTTGGGCTTTCACCTCCTGAAGTGTAGACGAGCTTTCCTACTTCTATTTTTCAGTCTACACCATTATCTAAGGTGACTAGGAAAAGCCTTCCCTTTCTATACTGTTCCATTTATCAATTTATTTGTCTCCTCCAATGAGGAAGGAAAAACAGATATTACCTCATGGAAGATAATAACTAACATTTATTAAGTGCTACTAAGTTCTAGATATAGTGCTGTACAGGTCTTATGAATCATCTCATTTAATTCTCATACAATAAAGTATCATTATCCCCATTTACAATAGCAAAACTGAGGTTCAGTGATGCCCTGGTTTACCTAATTAATAAGTTATAGAACTAGAAAATCCAGATAGTTCTATATCCATAGTGTATTCTTTTAAAACAATATTCTATGTTCCTACTAACACAAGAAAACAAGTGCCTTTATCAAGGTCACAGCAGGTAGTAATAGTGACAGTATTAGAACATTGGTCCCACATGCCAAGTTCTGTCCTTTTTCCAGCATGCCACTCCTTAACCAGATTATTATTCCTACTTACCCTGACCAACCTGGCAACTCACTGATCCTCAGCATATATCAGTGGAATATGTGAATTCCTATTTACATGCTTCTGGACATATAATCAACAACTCTCCTCTAGATCAAATGCTAGCCTCCCTCTCATATCTATCCACAAAATCTCCCTGAAGAACATACTTTCACATGTGTTTTCTATTTACCAGACTCTGAGCATCTCTTTGTATCCTTCACCAGCCCCTACAACCAGATGCAATTTCTACAGGTGCTCAAATTAGGCTGTCACAGTATCTTATGTGGCAGTTGCCAACTACCTTACCTTTGCAGGGCCCTCTCTCATCTTTTTTATTTGATCCTTATACTTCACTAGCTCAGCATCCAATCGGGAAATCTTCTTGTCAATGGATTCTGCTCTGCTGTCCACCTTGGAGGAATATATAAAATGAAGTGGTAATTATTGCAGTATACTTACACAGGAAGGGGCAGGAGGAGGAAAGTGGAGAAAGAAAAACAAAGGGAAGCATATGGTGAGGAGTGGAAAACAGTAGTATACTGGGCAGGGTATGATTCCCAGTTGGAAACTCTGCGGGGGCGCTTTTATAAGATACTCCAATCCCCTCTATTCTGATATACCAGGTCCCCCCCCCCCCGAAGTGTGTTGGGGTAGAAAAACAATTTGAGAATCACTGGGATGAATTGAGATTTCCCTGTAATCATAGACTAGTCAGGCTGGGGGTTCAACAAGGAGGTGCATGAAATAAGCCAATGCCCATTAGACACCAGCTAAGACTAATCTAATGCCACCCACTAGGTCAGAAATGATGGCCTAATCTGAGGAGTCAGGGTTCTGAATTTTTGTATTACTGAGGTCCAGCTATGTTAATTTATCAACAGAGAAAAGACCCCTGTCATGAGAAGGGATGGAAAAGGGGTAAAATATCGGTCTGGACGAGGTGAAAAGGGTGTATGGGCCTAAGGCAGGTTGGGGTGAAGGCACCAAGGGGAGATCAAGTGGACCGGGCAATGGCATCAGGATGGGTTGAGAGCAGGAAGAGCGAGGCAGTGATGGGATTACAGAGTTCCTGGTTTGTGGAGTGAGAGGAAAGACTTGGGAAAAAAGGATGAAAGGACGATGTAGGTATGGAGAGGTCCAGCTTCGGTAATGGGGTGGAGTAGGAGCCAGGAGCAGGGATGGGAGGGGTAGAGAATGTCAAAGGTCCTAAGACTACTTTTACATGATCAGATGCCCACCGTGCCAATGCAGTCGGTCAGGCTGGGCGGCGGAGCCTTGGGTTTCGCTTTCCCGAAGAATCGATTCATCTTGGGCGGCCGCGAAGAACCCAAACACTAGAAGAAAATCAAAAACGGAAGCGAAGCCAGCCTCGCTCCGACTTCCGGTTCTTCCATGCGCAAGCGCAGTGTTCCTGACCCTTTTTCCGAGTTTTCAGCTCCGCCTTCCCCGAGAGGAATTCAGAGCTTTGGAAGGGGTGGGGAGGAAACTGCAGGAGGAGGGGCCTCAGTGGAGGAAGTGGGCGGGACTTCAGATGAGCGAGGCGGGGCCTTGGCTGAGTGGGTGGGGCCTAGAGGAGGCTTTAATACATAGGGTGGGGCAGGAGCGGGGCGTGGCCAGGAAGTAACCGGGTAAGGTTGCAAGACGCGGCGTTTAGCTCCCGCCGCTGGGCGGTCAACTAGCGCGG